GTTTGTCTCCGGCCCTGGTTGGGTCGGGAGGCAGCCACTCGATGTGTCCCTTTCACATTGATGTTTCCCTCTCTCTCTTCCTCTCTTTCCCTCCCTCTCTATCTGAACAAAAAATGGAAAAATGTCCTCTTGTGAGAATAAAAAAAAAATTAAGTAAATACAGCGAGTCCATGTGTGTATGGAGGGGGCAGACTTGTGTGTCTCTCTGACATCAATGTTTCTCTCTCTCCCTTCCTCTCTCTCTAAATAAAAACATTAAGAAAAATAGAAATTAGCTCTCAGGATTATAGAGGCTGAGGAGTCCCAAGAGTTGCACATAGAAGGCCTGAGACCCTGGAGAGCCAATGGCGTAAGTTCCAGCCTGAGTCCAGAGGCAGAAGACTGATGTCTTAGCTAAGGATTATCAGGCAGAGAGAAAAAGTGCTCCCTTGCTTAATCTATTTTCTGTTCATGCCTTCATGGACTGACTAAGACCCAGCCACACTGGGGAGAGCAATCTGCCTTACTCAGTCCACCCATTCACATTTTAATTTCTTTTTTTCTTAAATTTTTAATTTATTTTTTTGTTACAGATGTTTCTCCTTTCCCCCCCATTGACACCTTCCTCCCGATCTCCCCCACAACGTTCCCAGCATTGTTGTCTCTGTTTATGATGAAATTTAATTTCATTCAGACACACACACCCTCACAGACACACCAAGAATTACGTTGAGGTACATGTCTGGGTACTCAGTAGCCCAGTTAGGTACACACAAAATTAACTACCAGAGCTGGTCACAGGGAGCTCATAGGTGTGAGTTGAGAGGGTGTTAGCTCCCTGTCCATGCTTGAGCCTGTACGTATCACTCCTGTTTTATGACAGGTGTGCTGGGCCTGCCTGACCGATGATTTGGTGTATCTGATAGAACCTAGATCATGATGATGAATTCTGGTTACCTGGTGACTTTATGTCCCAAGTTCAGATGTATTATCACTTCCAAGGCCTAGAAGCCTGACAGGAGTTCTTTTTCTTTCTTTCTTGTAAAAAATTCCTTTATTGTTGAAAGTATTACAGATGTCCCCCTCTGTTTTCCTTTTTCTTTCTTCCCCCATTGACCACCCCTCTCCACCCCGAGGAGCTTTTCTCTGTTGTTGAAGAGGAATGGCCTTGCTCAGAGCCCAAGGAGTCTGCCTTCTACTCTCATTAGGTCCTGCTAGAAATTCCACAGCCCATCCTTCCAACATGGGTTAGAGGAGATACAAGGTACAATATGTGCCTCTTTTATTAGAGAGTATGTCCAGCACGCCTGATTATTGGAGCCTTAAAAACAATAGGTACAGCAGACCTCTGAATGTTCACAGATGTGGATAGTTAGTTGCAAGGTCGTTCAACTCTCACACTGTGTTCCAAAGTGCTGATGACTAGATGTAGCCATGTGCAGAATTCATGAATTCTCGTCACAGCTAGTTTTTTTTTTTTTTTTTCAATCTATATTTTCATTCACTGCCCAGGGAATACTTTCTGGTCTAGGTCTTTTTCCAACCCCAGCAACTTATAAAAGGAAAAAAGAATCCACAGGTAGGACCCAATCCTAGGGGACAGAGGCTCCCAGTGGGCTGGTGGCCTCATCCAGGTGTGAGGGACAGGGAAAGTCCCATTCAGGAGAGGCAGTAGTCAGCATCCAGGTGGTCCTGTGGGACAGCAGAAGGACCTATCTGTGTGGAAAAGGAAGAGGAACAAGCCAAGTCACAGAAACACATCAGAGATGTCATCAGACAGTAGAGGTCAGGAGAGGACCAGGGATGGGAAGTAGATGCCATGAGTTTGGGAAGGTACTGAGCAAGAGGCATGTAAACACTGTATTAGCTTATGGGACACATGGTCCTAGTGTAGGGGCTGGCCAGCGAAAGGTCCCTTTTTTCATTCAACCAAGGAGAAGTAGCCCATGAGTGACGTGGTCCAGAGGCTGAGGGCCAGCTGGTCGACCATGGTGAGGTGGAGGAGGAGGGATCCAGCTCCTAATGGGATCCTTTCTGCAGCTCCCCTTGGGGCATCTGATTCAAGAGTCATCCTCTTTGCTTTATGATGAAAGCAAAGGCAGATGCTCCCATTTGTCAGCCTGGGTGAAACCTCTTGGAGGTTCCCATTTTGACATTATTGTGCCACCACTTTTGCCCCCTGATGTAAAAACTGGTAAGTATGTGGGCTTCTTCAACAGGTAGTTGCTCTCTGATCTCTGGCGCTTGGGAGGAAGTATGTGAGGAGCATTCCGTGTAATTTTCCTTTTCCTTTAGTCATCAGAAGTCTGCCTGTCCAGTGATTTCTCAGGTTCTGTCCCTACAGGAGCTCAGGGACCCAATGATCTATTCTGCCCAAAGTGCTGGAGTTCATGCGCCGTCTTGGGATGATTTGATCTCTCATGACTTTCCTCTTTCCTCTTCGCTCCTCTTCCACTCCCTCTCTTGGGACTTCATTCCCTTTATCCGTCCATCTGAGTCTTGTCATATCTCTCATGTTCCTGTTATAACCCAGTAATTCTCCATCTGCTAGAAGAAGGAACCTCTCCTGGGTTCCTTGAGCCCGAGTTGTTATTGCAAAAATTCTTGAAGAGGAAGGTATGCATCAGCCATGACCACAAGGGTATTGATTATGAGCTTAACTAATCAGGAGATGCCAGGCGGGGCAATGAGACATTCAAGGCTAGGGTCTAATAAATGTTAAGAAATATAAAATAAACAACTTGTGCAGCTACTAACTGCTGATATCTGCTTCTGTACATGTAGCTTGCTTGCTCTGCTAAACTTTTGAGTAACCCCTGTCCTATATAAGCAACCCTCCCCCTGAGCTCGGGGCTGCAGTTCTCCTCTGTGTAGGTTGGCTGCAGTCCCTGCGCAGGTAATAAAGCTCCTAATATTCAAAATTACTTTGTGTCCGAGTGAGGTTGATTCTCCTGGGTTACAACAGTTCCCAAGGCACCAATTTAGACTCCTTTTCAAAGAAGAAGGGACATTTGAAAAATATCTGGGGGTGGGGATGACCTGCCAGGTAGTAGCTAGAAATGTCAAGTGTAGGGAACAGACACCTGTCAAGACAGAAATTGGAGACCACGCAGCTCAGCTTGGCTGAGGTGTTGTCCGGCTCCTCGCAGAGGTGGCCTGCTGCCCCAGGGCAGCCGGAGATGGCAGTCAGGATGTGACCTATGACTCTCTAGCTCTTCAGAAGCATTTCCCAAGGTGACCTTGTTGACAACTGATTCCTGGAACACATACACCCAGCACATCCTCCAGGAGGAGCTGTGCCCGTCAATCATCACCTGTTCCCCTGGTGCCCAGGTTGTTCCTGTCCTTTGCAAGGATGGAGATGTCAAACGGGTAAGTGTGCAGTGGGTCCGCCCTGGGACACAGCCACCTTCAATAATACGACTGCCTGTGTAGGTCTAAGTGTCGCGTGCAGTAAAAGAGAGAAATTATAGAAGAGGAAGGGTTGATAAGAAAGAGGTCCTTACATTCTAGAAGAGGGACAGTTATCACCTGTGGTGCCAGCAGCAGTGGTCAGCTCACCACTCGAAAGCCTGTTGACCTTGCCGACCTCAGCGTGAATGTGCATTTTGTCCTGCTCTGATGCGCACCTGGGACCCAGAGCAGAAGAGGACTGGGACAAAGCCTTCAGGGCCACAAGTATGAGCAAGGCTCAATCCCTTGCCTTCGGGGGCCTTGGGCTCTGGTAGGATGTCTGCTAAGCCTATCACTGGTGTCACTGTCATCAGTGGATGCCACTGTTGTCAATCATGAACATTAGCAGGCATCCACTTCCACGCTTTGGAGCAGGCGTCTCACTAGTCATTCGGAACACTCGCCACTTCTCGTTCATCAGGTCTGAGTATCACGTGTCATCAATATAATGGGTCAATGTGATGTTCTGCAGAGTGTCCAGATAGCCCAGATCCCTCAGGTCTACAATGGGCAAGACCGTGAATGTATAGTATTTTTGGTCCCCTGTCCATGCAAACTCTTTCTGATCCATCTTCCTGAGCAATTCTGAAGGGTCATTTGGTAGCGATGCAAACGTCTGGGTCAAGAAAAGTCTCAAATGCCAAGCTCTGTTGTCTTCTCCCTGTGGAGTGGGGACGCTGCCCTCTCCTGGCACACTGATGTGTTCACCTCCCAGAACCCTCACCCTGGCCCCAGTGTTCAGAGTGTTCACTGGGGTTACATCATGTAGACATGATTTTTTCATTTGTGACCATGTGATGGAACCCAGTCTACACTGGGTGGAAGTCAGGCTGAGCCTGAGCCGCAACCTTCCTGTACTTGGTTAGTCTTTCTTGTGATCCGCCCTTTTCCGGATCATGTTAGTATAAACTCAGGCATCATCTAAGAGGTTCATATACAACAAAGACACTGCTATTGTGAGAAGCTGCCAAGAGTTTTAGAAGTGACCTCCAAGGGGCCAGGGAGAAAGACAGATAAATCATTATACAAAACCCCAGTCTGGACCTTTGGAATTGATTTAGCATTCATGTATTCTAAGCTTCCAAGGGCTATCTCAGCATCCCTACTCCCTGGGGCCATTGCCAAGGGGTTAAATTCTGTGTGATAAGAGTTGGCCCTTTATTGACTAACTCTCCCTTATTCAGGTGATGCTTCCTCATCTGTAGGACGGCCAGAGTCCTGGCTCCCAGGAATACTCTCCTGATCCTTCCAGTCCATGTTACTCTGATTCTGTGGTTCCTTTGTAGTCTAGACCCTCCCCTTCTTTTAGCCAACACAACAATCCTTCTGGTTATGCTGAGATTTGGCCCTAACTGTGAGTGTGGTGAACAGATGGGCTAGTGGGTACAGCTTGCAATGGGTCCAGCACTTAGAAGTCAGAAGTCGGACATGAGTCTTAGATAGTTGTAATAAGGTACTGGCAGGGCTAATTAAAAAAAATCTTTTATTGATTTTAGAGAGAGAAGAAGTGAGAGAGAGAGAGAGAAACCTCGATGAGAGAGAACATCGATTGGCTGCCCCCTGCATGCCCCCCACTGTGGATCGGACCCACAACCTGGGAATGTGCCCTGACGGGGAATCGAACTGGTGACCTCTTGGTGCATGGATCAATGCTCAACCACTAAACCGCATGAGCCAAACAGGGCCGATTTTTTTTTTGGAGGCTCTGAGGGCAAATTCTTCTCCTTGACTTTCCAACTTCTAAAAACCACCTGCATTCATTGACTCATTTCATGTTCAAAATACAGAAACCAACCTCTGCTTTTACAACATCCCCTCCTCTGACACTGCCCCTCCTGCCTCTCTCTCATGACGTCCCGTATACCAAGCCCACCAGCATAACCCAGAATCACCTGCACATCTCAAGATCCTTCATTTAATCACATCTGCTGTTGGGGCAAAGCCCCGAAAGTCTAAATTCAGGATCAATTCCAAAGAGCTGACACGTAGCCTTCTTCACATTCATAAGAGCTTTAATAGGAGAAACTTACATATATGGGCAAAGCAGGTGCTTCCCGGTGGTGGGCTAGGAAAAATCCCCACCCTCCCAGGACAGGATCCCTTTTCACAGGGGGATAATAGTAAAGCCACATGGTGGGTCGTCATGTAGACCACCAGAAAGAACAAGGCATTCTTAAGTTAACAGATAACATCAGGCAGAGAATTAGATAATCATTTCCCAGAGGCCTTTGCTGCTGGAGCCATATTACATCTCTAACGTGAGTTCCCCCACACTCCACCCAGATGGTATACGGGTCCTTCCATTCTACGCGAAGATCTTCCGCAAGTTCCCTCGGACCCTTTGTACTGTAATGGTTTGGAGTTTGAGGGAACAGCAACATTATCGTCCACAGAAGCCTAGCATGATCAACAAGCAGATAACAACTACTCCTACTAGAGTCCCTTTCCAAGGCAGTAATGAAGACTGAATCCATGCGGACAGAGGACCAATTCCTCACTGTGGAACAGTAGAGATTCGGCTATTCCACGGGTCTGTCGGCAGCAGAAGAAGGCACCTCTCCCCAGACCCCGCAGTCGCTCTCGTAGCGCGGTGCCAACAATGCGCGAGCCCAGGTGGCAAATGGGTTCCCTTGCACACTATGGCTGGAAAGACAAAGACGTTACCGGCCCGAGCAACGCATCGTAAGCCTCAGGCAAAAATACAGACTACGTTGTCATCTCTACTAAGAACGGTGACTAGGGGCAGTTTCTGCCCTGGTTTACAATTCCGTAAGTAGTTCCTGGCAGAGATGGGGCAATGGGGGGCACGGATATCAGGGGAGGAATGTTAATACTCCAAGTCACGGCAAGGGGCGTGCCCTGAGTCAGCGTTTGGTCCAATGGATTCTGCACCACCAGCCACTGAGGGGGTGTTGGATGCAACCAAGGAGTTATCTGCAAGTTAAGATTTTGTCCCTCGTTGTAGACTGCAATGAGCCCAAACCATCAGGGGGAACCTGCCATACCCAAGGTACCCGTAGATGACTGGCCCCAGTCCTAGGTGGTGTGGAGCCGTCAGCAGGACGGCCCTGTGTGGCCCCAGTCACAGTCCTTCAGCGCTCGAGCTCTCCAGCGGGACGCGATGCACTGGGGTGTTCTCGTCTGGCGTGGCAGTTCCAGCTGAGCTCCTGGCCGCCTGTGTCCAGCCCTTTAAAGGGCGGGTTTCTCTTCGCAGAGCCTGTTTCAACAGTCCATTCATCCTTTCCATCAGTCCAGCCGCTTTCTGATTACAGGGCCGAGGGACGTGCCGCATTATACTGTTCTCGTTGGCACATTCCTGCACCTGGTGACCCATGAAGTGAGTCTCTGGTCACTATCGATGTCCGTGGGTTGTCTGTCTGTAACACACAGTTGCCTGAGTCCCTGTATGGTTACCTTCAGGGTTGGCCAGTGGTAGTATCAACACACGTCGATGCGCATCTGTAACGCTGGGACAGTGGCAAAGGCGGATCCGATGGGGTCTACCTGCCATCGCGTGGCTGGTGCTCCTGACTTTGCTATCTGCCCAAGATGCCATGGTAACTGTGTCTTGCATTCGAGAGGACAAGGGGTACACTCCTGGCGTGCTTCCGTAATACGCCCCTTTATTTAGTGATCTCTCGAAGAGAGTGTATCCCCTAGTGGTCAGTCCTTCTGTGTAGCCACAGGCCACTTCTTGCAGACCTCTGCTTTCTTCCATGTGTCAGACCCGGGCCAGCTGACCACCCTCCTGATTTCCCGGAGGGGATGGCACACTGTGGGCCAGTAGAGGGCACCCTGCGACCTCTCAACCTCTTGTCCTTCCCAGATCTCACCCCACATTTCAGCACCCCATATGGGGAGGTGCTGGACTTCCCGGTGGTCATTTTTCCACTGTCCTAGCCACAAGGTGAGCCCTAGTGATAGGATTTCGTTCATGCATCAGTACGACCCAAGCCGCTCACAGCTCAGCCCATAGACTGCTAGCTTCCTTCTTGGAGGCATCTAGTGTCGTTATGCAGCTGTGTGGCCAATGTGGTCCAGCGAGGCGGGTTGGCCTTAGTGTGTCCATCGGTGTACTAGAGAGTCGCGAGGACTGGTGCCTGATCTTTGGTGTGGCCCGTGTCAGTGTCCACAGACATTGCACTGACACAGGTGTCGGGGCCCAGGATGGCAGGCACCTCGGCACTATGTGGACTAGTTGACACAGCAATCGCTGCTGTACCGCTCCTGCAGGGTAGTGGGCTGATTGGGGTTTGGCGAATTCCGATCAGATCCATCCAGCCGTGGGGTATTGTGTCTTTTGTGACCCTCTCCACACGCTGCAGTCTAAGGCACACTGCCAAAAGTTGTTTCTCCGTAGGACTATACCGCTGTACAGCTCCCTTCCCTAACTGGGACCAGACATCTAGGGGCACCTTCCTCCCATCCTGCTTTTGCCATAAGCCCCACCCAAAGCCCTCTGGATAGACCGAAACATCTGATTCACAAGGGTTGGTTGCATCCACTACCCCCAATTCCTGAGTGTGTTTTACTGCCGACTTTGCGCTGGTAAAGGCATCAAGACACTCTTGTCTCCAACCCCAGATGGCTCCTTTCTTTACCAACCTATACAAGGGACATCACCGCTGAGCTGGATGGGGAATAAAAGGCCTTCAATATGCAAGCAAGCCCAAGAATGTTTGCAGTTGTTCAACTGATTTGGGCAGAGGATCCCTTTGAATATTATCCAGCACAGCAGCTGGAATGGCATTTGTCTTACCAGACCAGACAGCTCTTAAGAATTTGACAGAGGACCCAGGCCTTACACCTTGTTGTGATTTACGGTCCGTCCCCATCCTTCTAGGTGTTCCAGCAAACTCTCCGACGCCTTATGTAAAATAGCAAGGTCATGACCAGTTAGCATAATGCCATCAATATAATGATCGAATGCTACTCCCTCCCACCTTTCCACATAGATGTGTCATTTGCCACGAAACCATGGCAGAGGGTGGAGCTATGCAGGTAGCTTTGTGGTGACACCTGTAACGTCCAATCCTCCCCATTCCAGCTCAAGGTAAACTGGTCTTGGCTTTGTGGGTTTGTGGGAACACGGAAGAAGGCATTAGCAAGATCTAATACAATTATTGAATGAAGTCATTGAGTCTTTGGGAATGATACATTCAATAATTGAACAATGTTAGGGGGCCCATTCTATTGAGGTGTCGGTGGTCCATAGTCATCCGCCATGACCTGCCTTATCACACAGGTCTATTGAAAGAACTATGGGTGGGACAAACTGTGCCCACTCTGTGTAGCTCTTTCATCGTACTGGTCATCTCTACATGTCCCGCAGCTAAGTGATACCAACTCACTGACATTGTTGGTGCAGGTACCTTCACAGGTGTCCATTTCGCCTTTGACCTGAGCACAGGCTTGTATCTGCAACAGAACTCTCCTATCGTAGTGGATATTTGACCTATTTGAGCCAAAATGTCGACGTCCAAAATATATTCAGGCAGAGGTGAATATATTCAGGTAGAGGCCCTGCTAGTGCCTCGGGGGCAACCAATCCATCTGCATACAGAATGAGACTCGCTTTCCCTTATAGAACCACCCCCCTAGCCATCGACAGCGGTAACATAGCCCATAAACTTACGAATATTATAATAGGTCAACGTGTATTCTGTTCCGGTATCTATTAGAGTCAAGACCCATATTTTATTTCGTGGGATCTAATGGATGCGCAGCCCTTCATGGGGCCTCCAGTCCCCTTGCGCCATCCGGTACGTGCGCTTGAGCAGGAATAGAACCTGCAACCCTTTGGTCCAAGGGCCGACACTATAACCGCTGAACCCAACCAGACAGGGCCCGCATGCTGTTTTAATTTTACTTATCATGACCAGGAGGCCTGTATGGAATCCTGGGAGATGTCAATCATCTCCTCCTCCTCAGACAAAATGAATGAGAGGGATGACCCTTCTGTGGAGTCCCAGTTCTTGGGATCTCATCCGCCCTGACCTGATCATCCGGACCCAGAGGCATGGTACTCCCTTTTCTTTCAGTGTTGTTACCCTTCAGACTAAGGTTTCTACCTTCTCATCATTTTCCTGCAAACATTTCGAGAGCCCTTCAGTGGTCGCCACCTGTGGTGGGTGAGCTTCTCTTTCTAATCACAGGTCATCTTCTAAACAGCGATTTCTAGTAGCCAGTGCTAGTGCCTCGTTCCAAGAGAACCTCTAAGCGCAAAGGGAGGGCCGGGCTCCAGTGGCCTCCGTAGACTTAACATCTTCCTTTTCTTTATCTCCCTTCAGCCTCTCCCATAACTCTGCTACATCCCCATACACTCACTTCGTTCCCTTAATCTCCAAGGCTGGTACCAGGTAGCCCAAAGCACACGTACTTGGACATCCTGGGACTTCCTCCAGCACATCTTGTTTTTCCCCCATTTCACCCTGGCTTTAATGGGTTCTTTGAAATCCTACTCACAGCGCCAATTGTTGGAATGTGTTCTGTGCCTATAAACATACAAGCCTTCAAGTATGAAAAATCGAAACCTGTAAGCAAACCCAGCGAGGACAGGATCTCCACGCTGCTTCGTGCCAATGCTGATGGATTCCATCAACTGACACCTGTAATTGTTGGCCATCTCGTAAACCTGGAGCTTTTTTTTATGTTTTTTTGTTTGTCTGATTTTTGTTTTGTTTTTTTGTTTTGGTTAATCCTCACTCGAGGATATTTTTCCACTGATTTTTGATAGAGTGGAAGAGAGGGAGGGAGGGAGAGAGAGAGAGAGACACGTCGATTGGCTGCCTCCTGAACAATCCCAACCAGGGCTCGTGCCTAAAAACATGCACGTCTTCAAATGTAAAAATCGACACCTGTAAGAAAACCCAGCAAGGACATGTTCAACCAGGGACTGAGCATGCAACCCAGGGACACATGCTTGACCCAGAATCAAGCCTGAGACCCTTCGGTGAGCAGACTGGTGGCTGGTCAATCTCAGTCAAGTTCCTCAGTTCTCAACTGATTTGCTTGATGATGAAGATGCCGGCTTAGGTTTAGCAGGGCAAGAGCTTACTGATGACTGTGGGACAGTACAGAACATCGGTGGAGAAGCAGGAGCTGAGGAAGATGGTTTACGGCGGTGAGAAGGTGAAGGGGACCCTGGGCATCACATCTTGACTGAAGGAGAAATAGCAGATGAGGTTATGACCTTGGAAGAGGAGGGTGGGGGTGAAGATAACGAGGAAGAAGAATCAATACGTCTCTGTCTTTTCTCTTAAGATCTTCAACTATTGGATGAGGCCTACCTGTATTATAGAGGATGATCTCTTTTACCCAAACTCTTTGATTTAATGGTTCATCATGTTTTAAAAATCACATTTATGTTCATGGCAAAACAAAATGGAGTTTGACCCAATGTCTGAATACCATAGTCTAGCTACGTTGATGCATAACATGAACCATTATAGGCATATTCTGCAGGTCCAGAAGAGTTAGAAATCTCAGTCAAGTTCCTCAGTTCTAAACTGCATCTGTTCAGGAATAGGCTCCCACCCCTAGTCCCCGGGTCCCCCTCTCTGATTAAGTATAGAGCCTTTGCCTAGGCTGAGAGCTACACTGTTAATCTCACCGGCGGACCTTTTCCCACTGACACTGACCACTGAGCCAGACCAGCTAGAGCTGAAGGTCTGCTTTTTACACTCAAGTCCTGCTCTGGGTCGTTACCTCTGCCTGCCCTTCGGCTGTAGACGGTCAGGATCCCTTCAACTCTGACACTTTGCTTTCAATTGCTAGTGATAGGTCTGAGCCAGACCGTGTCTCTCATTGATGCTCAGTGGCACTTTTGAGCAGCTCTCTTTGTCTTTACCTTTCTCTCAACCCAGGGACAGGGTAGCAGCTGTGCACCCCCAATACCCATCCCAGCACTCCGCAGGTGAAATATATGTGACCCCATGGCTGACACATACCTGGGACAGGCACCCTGCTTCCAGAGGGCCTGTCGCGTGGTGAATGATACCACTCAGAAACTACCCTTGGGGCCGTCTTCTGAGGACCACTGCTGGTGTGGATGATCTCAGGTCCCGTCTCCTAGAAGAAGAACGGGAGGCAGGATTGAGGAGGTGAATGGAAGGGGTGCTGGAGGGAATTGAGACAGTGCACAGTAGCAGGGGCAGGGCTGACTGGGGACCTATTGCGCCCAAGCACTGGGGCTCTGGAGCACACACGGCAACCCAGAGTCACCTCATTTTGGGCTTCAGAGCTATATGCCAGGCAGTCCCTGGCTACCGGCTGCTCTCAGGAGTGTGTGTGTGGGGGGGGGCCACCACCTGTAGAAAAAACTTTGGCTCACCTGAGGGAAATATTGTGGCTCAGCTGAGGAAAATCTATGCTACGGAAGTATCTGTGGGGCTGAATGAGCAGCATGGAATATAGGAACTGAGCAGGGAACCAAAAGTGTTCACTATATTGCATAAGTTTAGAAAACTATCAGGCACTTTGGGAGAAACATCAGGTACTTTGGAAATTAGAAGTGGCAGTAAGTGGTGACCAAGAAGGATGGGATTCCGGTGAGATGGGAGATTGTGAAGACACCAAAGCATCATCAGGGTGAAAGGGAGTTAGTGAGAAAAGGAAAGAACCCCGACACCCACCCCAGAGCGGTGTGGTTTTGAGGGAAGGGCTCAGGGGCTCAGGGGACAGCCCTCTGGGCTGTGTGTGTGTGATTGTGTGTTTGTGATTGTGTGTGTGTGCATGTGATTGTGTGTGTGTGCATGTGATTGTGTGTGTGCATGTGATTGTGTGTGTGATTGTGTGTGTGCATGTGGTTGTGTGTGTGTGCATGTGGTTGTGTGTGATTGTGATTGTGTGTGTGTGCATGTGGTTGTGTCTGTGCATGTGGTTGTGTGAGTGATTGTGATTGTGTGTGTGTGCATGTGGTTGTGTGTGTATGTGGTTGTGTTTCTGATTATGTTGGCAGCTAAATGGCGCCAGGTTTTGGACCAGCGGAGTCAGGCCAAACCTTTGTTCAGCAACCTTGGTACTTGAGTTCTGGCTAAGAAAGAATTCAGGGCCAAGACTCAAACTACAAGAGAGAATTTATTTAGAAAGTCACAGAGGTAGAAGGGATCTGTAGAAGCAATGGGCTCAGGAAACAAGACTCAAGAAGCAAAGAAGGGCCCTTGGAGCTTCGGAGGAAGAGAGGGGCCAGGAGAATGTGCCTGGGGCAGGGAGACAGGTGCGAGCGCGCTCCACAGGGGAGCTGTGCTGAATCCTCCATTCAGGGCTTCTGAGGGCGGGATTGTCGGGGAGGTGCCATGGGAAGGTCTCAATAAAACATGCATCAGCTTTCCAGGTGAGCCCTTTCAGGGCTGTGGTCTCCACTGCTTGGTCAGCGCCAGGCCTGGGGTCATGAGTCAATGCAGTTGGTCCTGAGGTCAGCCATGGCTTTGCTTGTCTGGTTTTGCTGCATTTCTGGGCCTGGGGCTGAAACACCACTGAGACCTAGATGTATTTGCTGCGGGTCACAACCTTCTTGTTCTGGGGCTTAATGCTTAAGGGCTATTCTCAGGCCCCCCTTTTTGTTCACCTTCTCAGGGGTCTACATCATGACTAGCAACATGCCTGGGAGGGTCTGAACAGCATGCCCAGTGATATGCTCGGGGAGGAAGTTACCCTGGGGTGGAGGCCCTTCCTGTCCCAGTTTTGCTCACTGCTGGACACCTGGGCATTTCCATCTGGTGACCTTCCGTACTGGCCTATTGTCCTTGCTCTGCTCACACCTGTCTGGTTGCCGACCACATGAGATATGTATGTATGCGTAATTGTGTCTGTGTGTATATATGTTTGTGTATTGTGTATCTATGTACACATGTGTATGTGTGATATGTATATGTATGTGTAACTCTGTGTGTCTGCATAGTAGGCCTTAGCTGAGGCGGTTTGTCATTTCAAAACAGGAAGGGAGTTGTGTGGAAACCAGGGTATTGTGCAGAAGTGCGTTTCTGACTAGAGGGGCAAGGCAGCCAGTGAGGGGTAGACTTACGAAGGGGCAGGGTGGCCTGCGTCCAGCTGCCACCAGGCTGAGATGTGCACCGTGGTTCTCCAAGCCATCTGTGGGCTGGGTGGTCGTGGCCTCTCCGGCGGCGTGTAGGAATGCTAAGGTTGGGCTCCGACCTTCCAGATGTCCTTCAGCCAGGCTGCCAAGCTAGCGGGATGCCAAGATCTGCAAGTGAAACTACCTGAGGGCCCTACGGAGGCTGAGAGGGAGCCTGGGACAGGTAAGGGGACAGGAGAGGGGTGGAGGGTGGGGATGCTGGGGGTGTGCTGAAGGCAGAAGACTGGGGAGAACAAGGAGGGTGTGGTGGCGGGGATAGAGAACCAGGGAGAGCTGGAGCGGGGGGAGCCCAGAACAATCTATTACATGGAGAGGGGGGAGGGGGTGGTGAGCAGGGCCAGAGAATATAAAAAAGAGGGAGAGGGCGAGGGTAAGAAGAAAGGGGAAAGAGGATGGAGGAAGGGCCATGCCCTGGAGAACGGGGTAAGGCTCCAGGTGAGGAATTATCCTGCAGTGGGTGGGGCTACTCGTCCACACTTTTCTTCTTTCTTTCTTTCTTTCTTTCTTTCTTTCTTTCTTTCTTTCTTTCTTTCTTTCTTTCTTTCTTTCTTTCTTTCTTTCTTTCTTTCTTTCTTTTTATGAGCTGCGCCTGCCTTTCCACTGCCCTTTCCCTCCACCACGTCTTCTTCCTGCCTGACCAGACTTTGTCTCTAAACTTCCCATACTGTTCGACTTCTTGGTGCATTTGCAACATGCCATTCCCTCTGTCCAAAATGCCCTTCCAGCCCCCTCATCTCCCCAGGTCTAAATGCTCTCTGATTTTTAAAAAAATTTTTTATCCTCACCTGAGGACATTTTTTCATTTTTAGTTCAGATAGAGTAGGAGGCAGAGAGAGGAAGAGAGAGAGAAAGAAAAAAACATCAATGTGAAAGGAACACATCAAGTGGCTGCTACCTGCACGACCCAAACAGGGCCGGGGACAAACTGCAACTGAGGTACGTGCCCTCAGCGGGAACTGACCCCAGGTCTCTCTGGTCCGCAGGCCGACGCTCTAACTGCTGAGACATACTGGCCAGGGCCACACTTTATTTCTTAATACCCACAGAGGCTCAATTATATCCCATGATGTTTAAACTGTAGGTCTAACAGGCCCCTTTAGGATGGCACAGAGGCTTGTTCAAGTCCACACTCTTCTGGCCAGGCCAGTGTGGCTCAGTGGATTGTCCCGTGGACTGAGAGGTCCCAGTTCAATTCCCGGTCAGGGCACATGCCCGATTTGGGGCTTGATCCCCAGTGGGGGTGGAGGGTTCAGGAGGCAACTGATGGATGTTTCTATCTCTCTCTCCATTTTCCTCCCTCTAAAAAAATCTATAACAACATACTTAAAAAACAAAAAAACTTCTAGGGGATCCTCCGCAGCTCCAACTTCCCTCTGTTCCGACCGTGACTTGTCCCTAGAAGAATTTGTGTGACAGTGACACACTGCCGATTCCCCGGCTGACCTCCTGGGGCCGCCATTGCATGTCTGCTTCTGCATTTTATGTTGACTCCTCCCTGACAATCTGGAAATGCCGCTACCAGCCTCCTATGGCCCGTCTCCTGCTCTTCATCCCGACCCACAGGTTTTCAAAGCCTCCTCAGGAACCCACCCCAGAATTTCACCTCTGAAACCTCCCCCCCCTCCCTAGACCCCGTGGGGGCTCCCAGCCCCGGCACCTCCTGCCCCGTGGTGACGGCCTCCCGGCTCCTCATGGGTCCCCTCCTGATCGGGACCCCTCCCCTGCTGGGGGCCCAGGCCAGAGGCTCACCTCTAAATGAGAAGGAAGTCACCACAGAACATCCCTGAGACCACATTCTTGTGGGGCACCCCTTCATCCTCTCAACCTCAAGGCAATGTTAGCAGAAGAGGAAAACAAAGTTCAGAATGAAACTTTCGTCAGTGGTTTTTACAGCTGCAGTTGAGGAATTGGTCCGGGCAGCCAGACAGGGGCCTGTGTGTCCTCCTGAAGACGGTTTTGTAGCGCAATGGAATTATATTTAGTAACGAAGTCGAAATCTCCTTCCTTAACGCCCCACAATGTCTCACAAAAACGTTAGTTTGTCTTTTTTATTTTTTTTAATCCTCACCCGAGGACACTTTTTCATTCTTTGTTCAGATAGAGCAGGAGGGAGAGAGAGAGAGAGAAACATCGATGTGAAAGGGACACATCGAGTGGCTGCCACCCGCACGACCAACCAGGGCCGGGGACAAACTGCAAACGAGGTACATGCCTTTAGCGGGAACCGAACCCCGGTCTCTCTGGACCGCAGGCCAACACTTTAACCGCTGAGCCAAACCGGCCTGGGCCGTTAGTTGGTCTTTTTAAGAATTCACAAAGATCTTGCAGGTACAAGGAGGATTCATAAGCAGAGATGAAAGCACAGTTAGTTTCTGTGGTTGAAAATGGATCATTTTTCTAAAGAACGTGATGTTTTTTTAGACGTTTCATGCCCTACAGGCTTTCTGCAGGTTGAATCATCCTGATGAATACAAGTATCACAATAATCTCGAGTATGTCTGGAGCTATGGGGTCTAGGGTGCTCAGGACTGTCTCCATTCCCCATGCCACTGATCTAGTTCTGATGACACTCCATATGCACCCTGAGAGACAACGGAAAGTCCAAATCACAGCTCTGGGAGTCACAGAAACCAGAGTAGTCCTCAGGTTTCCTTCTACGCGTCCATCCAGAGCAGTACTCAGGGTTCCTTCTGCACGCCGAGTCAGAGTGGTGATCATGGTTTCCTCCATGTGGGAGGTGACACAAGTGACCACGAAGCCTAAGAGAGCAAGAACGGCAGGCATGATTTCCACTAGACGGTCGAAGGCCGTGTCCTTGCTCATGGCCGTCCTCATTAAAAGTGTGTTCTAGAATGGTCTATGTTTTTTTTACGGAAGTGGCCCTGCCCCTTGAAGGAAGCCAATACCAACGTCACTTCCTCAAGTGGGTCAGGGCAAATGCCATTGGAAGAGAGAGGCTACAGGCCCGCCCACCCCATTACCCTAAAGACTTTGTCTGAGCTGGAGCCTGCTGATTGGGCAGGTGCCGGGAAACGAGTAGCACCAGCAGCCCGGCCCCTAACGCTGCTGTGGTCTCACTTCTTGTCACTGTTGTACTTTCAGTTTGACTTCCCTCTGTGGAACAGGTTCCCGCGGATGTGGAAAGCTTTTCTGTCATAACCCTGACAGCCTGTTTACTGCAACAACCCCTTAAAAAGCCACCTTACAGCCCGGCCGGTGTGGGTCAGTGGTTGAGCATCGGCCCATACACCAAGGGGTCGCCAGTTCGATTCCCAGTCAGGGCACATGCCCAGGTTGTGGGCCCGATCCCCAGTGGGGGGCATGCAGGAGGTCAGCTGGCGATGTTCATATGGATGTTTTTATCTCTCCCTCTCCCTCTCCCTCTCTATTTATTTATTTATTTATTTTCATGATCCAAGGAACATAAAAGTTTTATTTCAAAATAGCGACATTCTTATATTGAAGCACTGGCCAAAATTCAATACTGATAACCAATGTATAATTTCTTAGGAGGTCAAAATACGTGTGTCGGGTGAACTTTATGACCTTCTCTTAAAGGCAGAATTTTAAACCATATAAAACAATGAGAAACAATGTACATCAAGAGCATGTGTAAAATAAGCCACATTCAAGTTCAAGCTGAATAACCAACCCACATAAATTACCTCAACTAATATTTGCTGACATCTAGAACATTGCACACATTTTCATTAATTTAAAAGTTAAGGTCTATCTACGCTTCTCATCTCCCTCTCCCTAGACGAAATACAACTTTTAAAAATTATATTTGAATGATAAATGCAACTATTTCCTCGTGGTAGGAGACTCTGGTATTATCTACGGCTGAGATAAACAGAAATAAAGAAAATCATGAAGATTTATCAAGTATTTAAAAATGATCACTTATAGTAATTCATTAGGAGCCCTGGATGAGAAAGGCAGTTGTTTGTTTTCTAATAACAGCTCAGGTTTACGTTGCGTAATGTAATTCAGCAGAACAGCATTCTGACCAATGATGAGCACCTTATAGGAAAATTTTTCAACTATTCAGTGTTCCATTTTTTTTTTATTTTAAATTTTTATTGTTGAATGGATTACAGGTGTTCCTCTTTTTACCCCCATTGACCCCCCCTCCTCCCCTGTCCCGCCCCCCTCCCACCTTTTCCCATACTATTGTCTGTGTTCATTGGTTATGCATATAAGTTCTTTCGTTTATTTCTTTCCACCCCCAAGCCCTTTCCCTTTGAGGTTTGTCATTCTGGCAATAAATTTGTACTTCTTAATCCCTTCACCTTTTTCACCCATTCCCCCAACCCCCCTCCCATCTAGCAACCAACAAAATGTTCTCTGTATCTATGAGAATGTTTCTGTTCTGCCTGTTCATTTTGTTTGTAGATTCCATTGTTGATAGATATGTATTCATTGCCATTTTGTTTGTTCATATACTTTATCTTTTTCTTCAAAAAGACCCTTCATCATTTCATATAATAACGGTTTGGTGGTGATGAACTCCTTTAACTCTTTCTTGTCTGGGAAAGTCTTTCTATGGCCATCGATTCTAAATGACAGCTTGGCAGGATAGAGTAATCTTGGTTGTAGGTTCTTGCTTTTCATCACTCTGAATATTTCTTGCCACCCCCTTCTGGCCTGCAAAGTTTCTTTTGAGAAATCAGCTGACAGCCTTATGGGAACTCCCTTGTAGGTAACTAACTGCTTTTCTCCTGCTGCTTTTAAGATTCTCTCTTTGTCTTGAACCTTTTGCATTTTGATGATGATGTGTCTTGGTGTGGGCCTCTTGGGGTTCATCTTGTTTGGGACTCTCTGTGCTTCTGGACTTGTATGTCTGTTTCCTTCACCAAGTTAAGAAAGTTTTCTGCCATTATTGTTTCAAACAGGTTTTCGATTTCTTCTTCCCGCTCTTCTCCTTCTGGCACCCCCAAGATGTGAATGTTGGCACGCTTGAAGTTGTCCCAGAGGCTCCTTACATTATCCTCCTTTTTTTGGATTCTTTTTTCTTTTTGCTGTTTTGATTGGGCATTTTTTGCTTCCTTATATTTCAAATCAATGGTTTGTTTCTTGGATTTATGTACTCTACGATTGAATCTGTGTAAATTATTCTTTATTTCAGTTAGTGCCTCCTTTATTTCTGACTGGTCCTTTTTTATGCTCTTGACGCTCTCACTAAGTACGCTGAGGTTCTCACTAATTTCACTGAGCATCCTTATAAGCAGTATTTTGAACTCAGCATCTGTTAGGTTGCTTAACTCCATTTCGCTTAGTTCTTTTCCTGGGGTTTTGTTCTGTTCTTTCATTTGGGACCTGTTTCTTTGTCTCCTCATTTTGGCTGCCTCCTTGTGTTTGTTTCTATGTATTACTTAATGAGAGGTATGGGGCTAGCTGAGACCAGATGCTGCTTGTTTGAAAGAATTTAGGAAAAACCTGAAGCAGGATCCAAGACAGGCCAATCCTATGGTTGACAGCCGCCCCAGGGAAGGGCTCGCCAAAGGAACAAAGGCCTCTGACAGCACGTTTGTCCCAGAGAAAGCCCCACTCGAGCCCTCGCTCCAATGCCAAACAGCTCAGTTCTTCCCTGTATGTCTCTGGTGCCCCTCAAGCTTTCTCCCCTCCAGGCTTAGAGGGAGTGAGTCCGATAAGTCCGTGTGCGGGCCCTTTAAGAGGAGCTGCCTGGGGCTCCAGCTGCCTCAGCCTCCCTGAGCCTCAGTTCCCACTGGTTTTTCCAGCCAGAAGTGATGGGGATTCTCTTCCTGGCACTGGAACCCTGAGCGGGCCGCCTGGTGTGGGACGAGGACACCTCAGTCCTCAGGGAGGACCCTCCCAGCCAAGGTATCCTCCTGATTTTTATTCATCACATGTGGGTGTGGGACCAGCCCCTCCGCCTCCGCCCCTGCTCCCAGTCTCCATGCGGCTGCTGCTTTAATTCAGTAGCTGTAGGACTTCCATTCAGCTTGATTTCACGTGGTTCTGAATGATGGTTGTTCTGTAGTTTAGTTGTAAGTTAGGTGTGGTTGTGGGAAGACGGATACCGCATTTACCTACCGCCACCCTGACCGGAAGTTCTGCGTGGGCCTTTTAGGAGGAGCTTGCCTGAGACTCCAGCCACTCTGTTTCCCTCAGCCTCGATCCTGCTTGTTTTTTATTCTTTTCTCCAGAGGATATTTTTGCTCATCTTCAGATAGAGCTAGAGGGAGAGAAGGGGGAAGGGAGAGAAACATCAATGTGAAAGAGACACATCGACTGGTTGTCACCCGCATGACCCAACCAGGCCCGGGGACAAACTGCAACCTAGGTACATGCCATTAGTGGGAGCCGAACCCAGGTCTCTCTGGACCGCAGGCTGACGCTCTAACCACTGAGACAAACCGGCCAGCGTAGAAAATTGTATGTTTCTAAAAATTTATCCATTTCTTCCAATTTGTCCGATTTGTTGGCACATAATTGTTCATTGTATTTTCTGCTAATCCTTTGTATTTCTGTGGTGCCAGTTGTCACTTCTCCCCTTTCATTTCTGATTTTATTTATTGGCTCCTCTCTCTTTGTCTCTTGATTAGTCTAGTTAAAAGTTTATCAATTTTGTTTCTCATTTCAAAGAAGTACTTTTTGGTTTTATTGACCTTTTGTAATACTTTTTGGACTCCAAATCTTTTATTATTGCTCTGATCTTTCTTATTTCCTTTCTTCTACTCACTTTGAGCTTTGCTTGTTGTTCTTTCTCTAGTTGCTTTAGATGTAAGGTTAGATTGTTTATTTGAGATTTTTCTTGTTTTATGAGATACGTGTATAGTGCTATGTATTTTCTCTTTCTATTTGTACATTGATTTTGCGTCCTCGTGTTTTTATTTTGATTCGTCTGAAGGTATCTTTTGATTTCTTTTCTTGAACTGGTGGTTAATCATTCTTTGGTTAGCAGCATGTTTTTCAGCCTCGATATAACAGCGTATTTTCCAGTTTTCTTCTTCTGATTGATTTCTAGTTTCAGGCTGAGGCAGGATAGTAGGAAGTTAGGGAATTTTTTCTTTCTCTGAATGCCTTGTTTCGCTTAGCATAATACTCTCCAGGGTCCTCCATGTCGTCTCAAAGGATAAGAGATCTTTCTTTCCTACAGCTGCATAGTATTC